TGCGCCGAATGCGCCGCGCGTAGAACCCTGCGTAGGTAAACTTGCCGAGTTGGCACTCGCGGAAGAGAATGCCCGAGATGAGGAAGCCGGAAATCACAAAGAAGATGTCGACACCAATAAAGCCACCGGGAAGCGACGAGGGGTACGCGTGGAAGACGAGGACGGGAACGACCGCCAGTGTTCGGAGACCGTCCACGTCGGGGCGGTACGTGTGCGTCGTCGTCGTCGTCGTTTTTATCTCAGCGTCGTCGGGGGACGTTTCCAGCTCGAGCAGGACGCCGTCGTCCATCGGCGACGTGCCTGGCGACTCGGCAAACACTGGCGTGCTGCTCATGGCACGAAATACAAAATGCGATGCATCGTCTCAGCACGTCCTGGGTGCAAGGACACCGTGTTGGTAGCAGCTTTTGAACCAGGTCAACAAACGTGGTCACGGTATCGTCGTCGCTGGTCCGTTTGACAGAGATGACGTGCACCACAGAAAAGACATGTGACTGTCTACTGTACTACGGTCCATTTTCACATTGCACCCGACCACCCACGCCCCGAACGCACGATATCTGTGGCGTACTGGCGTCTCGAGCTACTTGTTTGTGCATGACTTGCATTGGGCTCACAGCCCTTCGATGCTGCTGACCGTTCAATGCAAAGTGGTCCGTGGCGTTACAAACGCAGTCAGAGAAATTAGACGACTGCATCTCTTGGACACTCCCGTTCGTTCAGTATTGAAAGAGCGATTGGAAGCCTTGCGAACCCCTCTTGGATTGACAAACAGTACACAGCAGCAGTATGTGGCAGGCGACGAGCGTCTGCGCATGGTCCTCGCCCATGCAAGGAAAAAGTGCGAGCCGATGTGAGGAGCGTCTATTCCAACCTGACGTGGCTTTTTTAATGCCCGACCAAATTTTTGTTGCCATTGCAACCACGTCGTTGGCGCGGGTCGTATACGCTTGGGTACCCTGTTTGATCAACGAGAACTCGAATATACTCCACCAATAGGTTAGACTCTAGTCCATGCACATCGCAGGGGCATTTCCTAGAATATTGGCTTGTCCACCAGAAACCCAAGCTCTCAAGAGCTTCTTCGCATGAGCAAGGGGGACCTTTGCATAACGTATAAATCTGCTCAATCGATGGGCACCATATCAGTTTGCTCTTTCGGAGTATTCCGAGTCTCTGTCTCCCAGCGCCAGCAACAGCAGTACCACAAGCCCAGCACTTGGTCACCGTTCAATTGATGTTAACGCCGGGACGGCAATCCAAGTCTCAAAACAAAAAGCGAAGGGACTTTGCTCCTATCGCGAACCAGGCACTATTATACCTTTTACGTCTTTTGGTTTTGTTATACCTTTTACGTCTTTTGGTTTTGCGGCCCCAGCTGCGGCGCCATGTTTGATGCGGTCGGATGTCACGGTTGGTGTGTCGCATGGTAGGTTAAACCTCCTTCGCTGCGCGTGTTTATTCACCAAGGTACACAAAAGTGCGAGGTCTATGCAGACGTCCACCCAACTCGTGGGCGCCGCTTCCGCCCACGTGCTGGCCACACTGCTGGCCACCGTCCGTTGCTTGCCACCATAAAAAATGGTGCAAAACTCTAGGCTTCACGACCTACGACTCCAGATACAGGTTTCGACACGGGGTTGTACGACGGTGTTGACAATACCTATAGATCGCAAGCATTGAAGCTCGGCGGATCAACACGTGAAGCGCTCTCAGGGCCCTGCGCATACGGCAGCTGGGTGCGACTTGAACTACGTAAAAAGCGATCCATTCCGCCCTCGTTTTGATTGGCAACCAAGAACCTTTCCTGAGCTTTGCCGCACGTGAAAAATCTGCGCAGTGATGGCAGCCGACGCGCCGCATCCGTGCTCCCTCGCTGCTTGCTGCTCACTCTCTTTTCTTCTTGGTCCTATCAACAACAACTAGACGACCATAATGACGCGCGTCCTGCTCACGCTCTTGTCGGCTGCGTATGTGGCTGCGACCGCCAACTTGCGCCAGCAGCAGTTCAAGGTCTGCAAGGTCGACACGGATTGCAACGACGGCTTTTACTGCAAGCCCACGGACGACGGGACGTTTGCCATGTGCCAGCCCGGCGGCCGGTCGCCAGCGCGCAACTTTGTGTGTGTCGACCACGCCGACTACTGGGGCGACGACCTCTACAACCTCCGGACCGGCTACGACGGCTGCCTCTATGCATGCCGCACCAACGCCAACTGCAATGCATTGGCATGGCTCCAAGATAACGCTGGCGCCAGCGGCACGTGCT